AAAATAACTCCCATTAAAGTAAAATTATCTGGTAATTCAATAAGTAAATATAAAAATCAGATATACGTTTTGAAATACAGAGACAAACACAAAATAACTCCCATTAAAGTAAAATTATCTGGTAATTCAATAAGTAAATATAAAAATCAGATATACGTTTTGAAATACAGAGACAAACACAAAATAACTCCCATTAAAGTAAAATTATCTGGTAATTCAATAAGTAAATATAAAAATCAGATATACGTTTTGAAATACAGAGACAAACACAAAATAACTCACGTTAAAGTAAAATTATCTGGCAATCCAATAAGTAAATATAAAAATCAGATATACGTTTCGAAATACAGAGACAAACACAAAATAACTCACGTTAAAGTAAAATTATCTGGTAATCAAATAAGTAAATATAAAAATCAAATATACATTTTGAAATACACAGACACACACACATAATATATATATATATATATATAAAGCGGATTTCGCTGCATGGTAAGTAACAATAATACTTTTAAAAAAATGTTCGAGTACAAAGTTCCTAAGAAAATCTATTTTGTACTTTCACACACTTATATTTATTGAACATCGCCGAGATTTTAATAATTATGTTTTACTTGATAGCATAATGTACAATAGATTAAGCTACATTTTTGATGTGTTAATTTAAATAATATTTTTCCTTCTAAAATGACAATTGTTGAGCTTTTATTTTAATTAGGAAAAGAATTAATACTAGCCTGATCAAATGTTAAATCTTCAAAAAACAGCAATGTTGCACTTGTTCTTCACAAGTTATTAGATGTATGTCAATACTGTATAAATATAGAATTAAATTGTCATTTAAAATGTATAATATTACATGTGTAAATTATCGTCTATTATGTACGTACTTTGGCACGAAATTTCGTGTCGTTCTAACTCATATTAACTCACTTGTATAGCTTGAGTTTGGAACAGAGTGGTGCGATAGTGGTACGTACTATACGTTAAACAAGCATGAGACAGTTTAGAGTAAGAACGTTTCAGGCAATCGATAAGTAGCCATGTAACGCAAAAAATATTATGATACTTTACCTATATCATATTCATCTTCGAAACCCTAAATGATAAAATACAGTATATATTTTTTCTAACTCACAGTAATGTATTTCCAAGGCATATTTACTATTATTAAAAGGTAAAGTTCACCTTTTTTTTGTTGTTGTTATTATTTTTCTAGGCAAAACGAATAATCAGGTAGACTTATTCAAAATCCCATAGAATATTTTACATAAATACAAGATTTAATAAAGCATGTATATTTTTCCAGCTTTAAACATGCAAACCCTTATAGCATTTTTGATGCTAAGCAAATAAAGTGATCATATGTATGCATGAGTTACGAAGCGACATTAGTCCATTACTATGTTTTAGGAAAAGTTTAATTATTTCGCGCTCAATTCACGTGCATCGTGTGGTATCACTCAACTGATTTTTCAACTGAGTTGTTTTTTTTTTTGCGAAGTCAATTAAAGAAGGAAAAATAAAAGTAATACATCGTCCGATTCCTCCATATTAAGTCCTGAAGTTGCTATGAATGTTAGTCGTGGAGAAAATTACAGTAATGTATTGAACATTTACAGCAACAGCACTAACTAAAGACAGGTAAGAGGACAAGAAGACGAGTTTTCGTTATCCTCTGTTGTGGTCTATGTTTTTATTTTAATGTTAGTCGTGGAGAAAATTACAGTAATGTATTGAACATTTACAGCAACAGCACTAACTAAAGACAGGTAAGAGGACAAGAAGACGAGTTTTCGTTATCCTCTGTTGTGGTCTATGTTTTTATTTTAATGTTAGTCGTGGAGAAAATTACAGTAATGTATTGAACATTTACAGCAACAGCACTAACTAAAGACAGGTAAGAGGGCAAGAAGACGAGTTTTCGTTATCCTCTGTTGTGGTCTATGTTTTTATTTTAATGTTAGTCGTGGAGAAAATTACAGTAATGTATTGAACATTTACAGCAACAGCACTAACTAAAGACAGGTAAGAGGGCAAGAAGACGAGTTTTCGTTATCCTCTGTTGTGGTCTATGTTTTTATTTATTCATTGCTTTATTGTGTTAGTTCTCGAAAATAAATATTTATAGAAATCTTCCTATAAGTGCTTCGCAGTCATGTGACAGTAATTAGATTTTTCTTTCATTGTTATTGAAATTGACTGCTTCAGAAACACGTGAAGAAGGTTCTGTAAAGAACACTATTTTAAATAACGGGACAAAATGTATATTCTGATGAAATACTTGATAAAAGAATTAAAAATATCACATATATATATAGTACAACGGCTCTAAATGTATCTTATGAAATTAAAATACATACTATTTTGGATAAATGTTCTATTATTCAGTATACTATATTCTATGACACATTTATACTATTTTATCTATCTGTGTTTTGTACACGATTATACTGTTCGAACTTTATGTTATGTAAGAATGATAGAGTATTATATAATTATTCAGTATACTATATTCTATGACACATTTATACTATTTTATCCATCTGTGTTTTGTACACGATTATACTGTTCGAACTTTATGTTATATAAGAATGATAGAGTATTATATAATTTTCAAGTCACTGGAATGTGTTGTTATTTTTACACTTTTATTTCATTGTGTTGTCTTTAAGGTAGTATTTAATGCACGTCTCCCCTAAAGAGGCAGTTGTCATTTTACGGAATTGCAACTCTAAAATCCGAGGCTCAATTCCCTATGACAGACGGATCGTAAGTAGCCTAGTATGCAACTTTACTCAAAGCGAACAGATAAAACGTAATACATTTTAATAAGATCCAAAGTCACAACACCAAAATTAACGAAACACAAATACATTGAGGCTGCAAATGTGATGAACACATATATTTGTAATTTACTATTTATTCCTTAATTTATACGTTTCTAAGAAAAGGGGGCCGTATTACGATTTTAGCTATAACTTGCGTTTTCCAGGTCACTACCGACGATGTCTTAACACTCTATATCAAAACTTATTAAACTTACTGTGTCATAATGTACCTTATCCTTCATTGGTATATAGAAAAAAGGTTATATGATTAACAGTGTCGCCATCTATTGTATTTAAAATGCCATTAAAATATGTATCCTACTATTAAATTTGTAATGGACGAGTTAAGTATTTGTATTTACCGGAAAGCCACTAAGGCCATCCGCCAC